GCCCTGCCGTCGAAGCCATCAAAGTTCTCATGGCATTATTTCCACGACCATGTCATTTTTTGCACTAGCTCCATGCGTCAGTGTGTGTCCCATCGATCTATCGCAGTATGAAATAATGTGAAACCAGGAACAGGCACTAAATAAAAAATAGTGTGAAATCGTGGGCGGTTCACGTAACAGCCAACGCTGTGAAGTTAGGCTAAGACCATTCTGGCCCTGTATCACATGAGGTGGTCCCTTACAAGAACTTAAGTTGGGAAATCTTCACTGTACCACGATGGGAGTCCTTGTAAAAGGATCTGTGAGAAGCAACAGCCAGAACGGCGACAAGAGGGGGAAACCCACGAACCCCAGCGCAGGGAGGACAAGAATCCCAGTCACAACGCCCCCCCTTCACCCCCCCTGGTTGCCCACTTCCACAGTTACCAACTTATGGAATTGTCGTGCCGGCCAGAGAAGACAGTTATTTCCTTAAAGTTAGATCATGAAATGAAATATATCACAATCGATGAGCTTTTCTACATACCCCCTTATAGATAAGACCAGCCAGCGCCCGGTAGCCAACGAGAGCTCGGAAGCGATACACGTCACCCACAAGCAGCAGGGCGCAATACACAAGCCAAAACTCTCTCCATCCGTATGACCTCCCTCTCGTCGTCAGCTCCGTTCTTTTCCCTCTTTCCTTCATGCCTTGAGTTTTGTGTCAATGCATACCGCAACAAGGAAATTAAATATTAGCAGTTGAATTCCCTGGGGAAAGTATGAAAAGACCTCCGATCGGGCTAACGGTACGCGTCCTCGACGAGATGTTTCGAGGATAATTGATTCGCCCTCATAGGAATAATTCTACGGTGATATGACAGAAGGAGATGAATCCACTTTTCACGAAATTGAACCGACATCATCGCCATATAGAGTGATTCGCGGTCCATCTTACGGTCGAACGGGATAGGTCCAACTCCTGTTCCTTCTGGAGAAAACTGCACGGGTTACATGGAAGTCAAGGAGGTGAAGAGGAGAGGAATTTCAAAACTTTCCCCCTGAAAAATGCGGTAATGGACTCATCGCCTTCTGTCATACCACTGCAGATTTGGCCCCCTAAGTCGAAAATTGAGTTTCTTTTGAAAGGAAGAAGGTAGACCTTGGCGTGACCTGAAGGCAGTATAATCAGTTGGTCTAAGCCAAACGTTTGTGAGTCCGATTGAGAAGGGGGGAGAGGGGAGTTCTAGAAAGGGAAAGCCAATGAAAACTGGTTTCACATTATTTCATACTGCGATAGACCGATGGGACACACACTGACGCACGGAGCTAGTGCAAACAATGACATGGTCGTGGAAATAATGCCATGAGAACTTTGATGGCTTCGCCGGCAGGGCTCTGGTTTCACATTATTTCATACTGCGATAGACCGATGGGACACACACTGACGCACGGAGCTAGTGCAAACAATGACATGGTCGTGGAAATAATGCCATGAGAACTTTGATGGCTTCGCCGGCAGAGCAGACGTTCACGCGGCTGCAATGCGCTTTACTGCTCAAGATCACGTGATCATGATCCGGCCTGTGATTGCACTGTTTCGATAGCTTCATCTGTACCGGGGGTATGCAGAAAAGCCGCCGGGATCTCTTCTTCAAACCTAAGTATACATACCTATATCGAGCAGTGAGCTTCTCATCCACCCAATTCACCTAGAGGTAAATGTTCGAGAGGGTTCATCATCGATTAAAAAAGTCCATCCTCGTCAATTTTTTCATTTACGTACGTTCAACAATTGAGCGAACTCTTGTGGACATTTTTTTAATTATCGATTCATGCAGTCTCAATAGAATGACGGCTGATCGTCAACGCTAGGGAGGACGACGGATCGCCTTGACGTACTTGGTTCGATGCGCTCGACCGTCTCGGTTGAGGCATTCAATCTCCGAAAATAAAATGGCTGTCAAGTTCATCACTTGTGTAGCTTGCACGAATTTTGCGAAATTTCAGATAATGGTGAACGAGTTTCGCTGTATAAATATATTTACATATATTTATTATTCGCTGTCGTGCTTGCACCTTAAAAAATTGTGGATACACCGTGGTCTTCGAGTGAATTTACTCATGGTTCTTTGCTCCATTGCCTCGCTAGGGAACCTCCGGGGGAACGTTTGAAAATTAATCGAAAGCCTATTTGGCGTGAAATGAAAGAAAGGTCAAAGGGAGCAAGGCTTGTATTCCAGGAAGAGAGAAACTGGTCCCTCTGTACCAGAAATGGATCAGTGGAGGGAATAAGGAAAATTATCAAAATATATTATAAAATTGGAAATTGTTTTTGAGGGTTGACTTTGGAAAGCTGGAGGGTTTCGACAGACTTTCACAGCCAAAAATTTCGCTTGTAGAGATCGAGAAGAGATTGAGATTCTGGGATTCTGAAGAGCACGGAAGACACTTTGGGAATTTATAAAATTAGTTTTTTTTTTTTTTGCCACGGCTCGAGGTGGGGAACGCTCCATGGCTTTCTTTTTTTCATTCGTAGTATTTTTATTTCCCCAAAATCATCCGAGAGAAAAAATACCGAACCCGCTACCACTGCCACCGCTGCTGCTGCTGCTGCTGCTGCTGCTGAGAACGACTGCGAAAAGATTGCCGCGCCCGTTACCTCCGCGGTAACCTTCGTACTCACGCCCGTTGTAAACGCCGCCGCCGCCGCTACTGAAGCCGCCCCGGTCGCTGTAGGCACCGTCCTCATACTTCTTCTCTGCAAAAGACACCGTCGGGTCAAATATTGTTTCCTCGATATATTACAGAGTTTTAAGACAATTTTTCCATATTTTAACTCACGAGGGGTAATCGAAAAGTTCCGGAACTGACAATTTTTATGACGCTGTGGGGACTCCGACCACCGAGGGACATATCCTTCAAATTAGTCCTCTTTTGCCTCAGCACAAATTTTCCATCTTTCTTCAATTGCTGGAATATTTGCAGACACGCATCTTTTAGAATCACCAGCATCGCTCGTGGCACGTTCGCAACGCTACAGTAAATGGCCTTAAATTTCCTTCATTTTCCAGTTTCAGCGGTTTCCGACCTTCCCCGCAATTCCCGTGCTTCATAAGCGATCCGACTCGCCGAACATAGCTTCTAGTAATTCCTTTTTGTTCCACAAGCTAATGAGTGGGCTGAAATGAAGGTGACTTCAGTAATTCGAAGCCAAATTGCGAACGCGATGCGAGCACTGTTGGTGACTCCGAATGATAAGCGTCAGCAATATTTCCAACGTATGAAGAAACACCGGAAAGTTTGTGTAGATGCCGAAGAGGACTACTTTGAAGGATATAAAAATCAGTAGTTGAAAAGAGTCACCACAGCGTCGTAAGAAATTCAGTCCTGGCACTTTTTGATCACCCCTCGTATTTTCACCAGGTCTGAGGGAAACTGATAAAAATTTTAGTTGTTCGAATTTCCTTCAGTCGTTATTGAAAATTAATTATTGACCTCTGGCAATTTTCTTGATTCTGGTTAATGTGGCAGAAACATCCATCAGTATACACTTTCGACTTCATTTTCCAAGTCATACTTATTTTCAAGAGTTTCTTGACTTGAGGTGTCACAATGGCTTTTGTCTCTCTTTTGGTCCGCAAAGATGCCGGGCCCGGTTCCACGACTCCCGCTCCTTCCTCTTCTTTCGCCGCCCGTGTCAGGGCCATCAGTGTCCCAAGAACCAGGAGTACGATCTGGGAAATTAACGAACATTTTCACACTTGTAATTTAATGTTTCGTATGAGAGACATAACAATGGTAGCAAATATTTCCCGCAATATTTGGAATAATCAAAATTTATGAAAAAGGGAAAAATTCGACACTTTTCCTCCCAAAAATGAGGAGAGTCATTGCCATCAGGAGAGTAAATGCTATCAGGAGAGTCATTCCTATCGAGTTTCAGATATCATTTCTTGTTCGAGAGTCACGGAATCCCAAATCCGAAAGTAAGTAGTATCAGGACGGTTAATGTCGTCATTGTACTTATGCAAGAGCCTTGATTAGAATTGACAAAAAAAACATCCCCTGGGCACAATCAAGCAAATTCACTGTATTTATCAAGAATTTCAACTTCGAACTCGGGGGGAAAACTCAAAAATAAAATTCTAAAAAGAAGTTCTTGAAAATGTCAATGTTCCTGTGATATAAGTAATATGTCCATATTATTAATATAGGTAATATATGCTACAAATAAACAATAATTTTTAAATTGTCCATGAATATTCCGTATAAGAAGAAATAAGTAAAGGAGTTGACTGATGGGAAAGGAGCAAGCACATATCCTTCAAGAACGATTTTTTCTTGCTATTTCACAAGTTCAGAATGAAATGCTTGCTGATGGGCGAAATTGGATATTTGTGCCGAAGCGATGCCCACAAGTCCAATTTGAGTCCCTCGCATACCCTTCAGCGAATTGAAACCTTAGCAAGGCATACGAAGTTCATCGATTCTAATAGATTGATCCTGATCGATCCTCTTAGACAAGTAACAGGCAAGGGGGAATTTCATCTCTTTTCACTGTTCTTGTACACGCTCACAGGACATGTCCTCTTTTAGAGGTTACCAACCTGATATCCTTCAGCTATGTGAGAGAGGGATGCTATTCTTCGGGAGAGGGAACATGGGGATTTTAGGAGCAACCATTATCATTTTATTTATCATAAGTAAAAAGGGAAGTCCAAGAACTTTTCTACACCCTCCCCCCCTCTCCCCCCCTTCTATATTATGATTTGAAGGTCATCTCGGGGGAACTCAGAGCCTGAAAAGCCTTGAACATCCAGATCCTCGCTGCATCTTAATGCATTCTGACGCCATTCTTCGTGTTCCCTTCCTCGACACCGCAACGGCCAAGGTCGACGTTTCGCAAGAGAGAAAGGCGGCGGCCAAATCCATTCGCATCCCTTTAGGCTAACAAATACTTCTCAATAACCTTTCGTCTGCCCTCGAGGGAGAACGATCTGCTTCATGCCTGACCGAAATTACGACAGCTCACGAGCACGGTGAACTTGACATCTATTTCGGTTTTCGATGACTTCCTGCAGATAAAAAAATATGCTGATAATGACCCACAAGAGCGAGTTCGGCCCGTCGGACGCCTGTATTTCTGTTTTTCCGACTCACTCCCTATCGGAAGGCTGCATTTCACGAAAACCTCAACCGATTTATGTGACCTTGAAATGGCTGAACCGAATAAACCAAACTTTAATTTCGAACGAGTTTAGTGCTAACAAGAGCAACGCCAGAAAAGCCTTTCCCGTGCAACTTTGCGTCGGGAACGAAAGCTAGGAATTGCCCGGGACGAGAGGGAGGGCGTGGGGGC